ACACACACACACACACACACACACACACACACACATATATAAAACACAATAAAATAAAAAGCATCAGTAGCTTCTGTGACACGCCTCTCTGTGTGTGCGTGTTTGAAAGAGCTTGATCTGATTTCCCTCATGCAGTTACCTGGCCTATCAAGTGTCTCCTCAGCCTCATTACTTGATGTGTGAAGAGAGGAAGAGTGCCGGYGGAGAGGAAGAAGTGTGATGGAGGCAAATTAGAGGGCAAAACTAAAGAGCCAGTTGAGCTGTGGCTGTGCACTCCATCCCTCTCCCAGAYGTTTTCAAACGGAGTCTTCGGGTCACGCTTGTTGCCATCATTAATACTGTGTTGCTATGGCGATGTGCGCAGTTGGTCCTCTCGGCAGCTTCAGATTGTTTCAAAGTGGGAAAACGAAGGCGAGCCGGAGAGCCGCCACAAGGCATGAAGAAATGCAGAGRCTCTCCTCTAGCTCCGAAACAAGAGCGTAAAAACCACGTATTTCTGTTCAGTAAATGTATTTGCTTCCAGGTGGGTTTTGTGGTTGTGTTGCATGATAAAAGTACAGAAAAACAGGAGAAATGAACTGAGTTGATATTTCACTGCTCACAGGAGCAACAGCAATTAGATAGAAAGTCTAATAAAAGAGAGGAAATGAAACACTGCAGAAAGAAGAGATTACATTTAAGGTAATTTAGGAACGGTGGAATAATTTACACAAACATATTCCTRTTTTAAATCATTTGTCTGTACCTTCAGCTCATTTTTACTCTGAAAACATCACATTCTKGCATATTTTCGGGCCTTTTGGTGTTAAAAATCACAGGGGAAAAAAAAAGAAAACYCAAAACATAAAGTTAAAAAATAACCAGTAAGACAACTATTTCATTTTATTGAGCTTTTGTTTTTAAGTTGCTTTATTGTACAGTGCCACAACAATATAAGGCATCACTAGACTTATTTAAATGTATTTATTTAACCTTTGTTTAACCAGAGTTATCCCACTGAGATCACACTTGTCTTTCAACAAAGGCCTGGGCCTGTAGGCAGTATTAACACGTTTTTAGACTGTGGGGGAAAACCAGAGAAAATTCCAACACGACAAAAACATACAAACTTCACCCAAAAACACAACCCAGGTCTTTACTGTGAGGTGATAATTCTAACCACTGAACCACTGTGGTGTTCTCAATAAGGTAAAAGCCCAGCATGGTCATAGTCTCCACTTCAGTATCAGCCATTTGAGCATTAAGCACAACACATTTCAGCAGACAGAGTCCTCATGCATAATGTCTGTTATTACTCTCTAGGTGTTTTTGGCCATTTTAATATCCTTATAAAAGCTGGTTTATACTTCAAGATGCACGACTTGCTCACGCTGTTGAGTGACAAAAATAACGGCATAGCTTCTGTTTGTTATGACTTGGTGACAGCGGTCGTGTGCATTGCCCCCAGTCAGAACTCTGTAGTGCAGGCCTTGCGGCTCACAGCGTGTGATTGGTCGGAACTCTGTGGGCGTGTTTGTTCATGCAGAACAAAGCAGCAAAAAGTTTGACCCAGGCCTTGTACCAAGAAGCTGCGCGCGACACAAGGCTAAAGAATGGACCATGCAGAGGCCTTTTGTTGTTGGCATTTAGTCATTAAGTCATTTCTTTTGTCATTAAGTGATGTTTGCAGATGACAAYTGCAAAAATATTCTGTTCATTTTTAACTCAGAGTTCTCTTGAATTCCCTGAATTTATTCATTTTGCTTCAGTTTAACTTGGATTGTACAGAATCACATTTTGTCATTTCATGTTGGAAGACAATTTCAGCCTCATTTTTTTATAAACTACAAGGTGAGTCAAAAGTCACAGGACACCCTTTCATTTCAAAAACAAAAAGGGAAAATGACATATCTGAATACCCCCCAGCAAGTGGTGGGTGGGATGGGTCAAATTTTTGTCAAAACTTCAAAACCACGAGAGGTATTAAAAATCTGATTGCAGCAATCGATTTCTGAGACAGTTCTGGTTTTCTCTATCACACAACTTCCCATTGGAAAATTTTRACTATGGCCGCCATGTTGCGCACATAGCCTAAAAGTTGCTGGGGTATTCAAATATTTCATTTTCCCGTTCATTTCTGAAATACAGAGTGTCTTTAGACTTTTGACTCAGCCMGTACACGTCTTCAGTACACCAGTGTGATGTTGAGACACCGTGACAACAAGCTGCTTCTCTTTCCTCCACTCCATCTCTGGGTCAGTTGCTGCCATTCCACCGTTCAGCTTGTGTCCATTTATCTTTGAGCTCACCTCCGGGTTGATCTTTCTGTCTCTGTAAATGTGTTACCGGTCCACCGGGGGTTTGCTCAGCGTATTGATCGTGGAGAGTCCAGCTGTTTGTTTCAGAGCGATGAACCCTGAGCTCATTCCTCAAACATGATCGACGTTCACCTCAGTGCCAGATTACTGTGTGAGCACTGCTGTGGACAAGCCAATAGAAATAATAAACTTTTATCATTAAACTACAAGTTTTGATTGAGTACAAAAGCAGATGTTAGATTATTTATCTAAGCCTTGGAGATTTTCCATATTTCAAGATTTGCGATTGTCTTATTCCATTGGCAGATTATTTCCCTTAAATTGAGAAATTTGAGAAGCTTAAGACTCAAATTAAGTGAAGTAACTGGACAATGGAATAAGACAATTACACTTTGTAAGATATCTTGAAATAAGGAAAYTTTCCAGGCTAACAAGATAATTTATTTAACATATTCTGCTCTTGCTTATTAAATCAGTCTCAAAACAAGATCCAAAATACYTTTTGGCTGGTTATAAGATTAAAAGACTTGATTAGATGGACAGTTTTTGCAGTGCAAAACTGGTCAGAACTACAAATAGAACTACAAACTACAAATATTGTGTTCAAATATGGTAGCTGAGAGTTATGCCCAGGCACAAAAAGGCTGTTTAATATATTTGTTTAAAACTTTATCATCCAATGTCGTGGCTAATTTTTCAATAAATTCAGTAAATTTTCTCAGTTAATTTAATAAAACTCTTTTTAATGTCATAATAAAAGTCAAAACTTGTTTTTTTTTAGACTTCCAAAACAAATTTTACATCATTAAATCGTTTGTTGAGTGTTCTAATGAAGGCTTTTGTAAAAAAAAAAAAAGTTAAAAATAGGAAATATTCTGAAACAAAAACTTTGGAAACTTTAAAAAGCCTGAAAACTTTCCAACTGGGTTGTTGAACCCAWTTTCAGGCGAACATTTATCACTGTCATCCACTCTCTGCAGGAACTAAAATGGGACATATTTCTTTTTTGGTTGCCACTCATGCTTCTTCTTTCYTCTGCAACATTTCCTCAAACAGAATCTCAGGGTTACTTTGAATTAAGGCAGTAAAGCATTAAAAACAGTAATTGTGATCGGAGCATGAACCCTCCGGCCCTGAAGTCAAGAGACAGAATGCAGACAGGATGATTTGTGGGTTGTCTCACTGGCTTTGACCTCCATTGTCTCTGCATGTACTTCACCTCGGACATCATTGTCCACATTAGATTAACCTCTCGCTCACAGAGATATCAATATCAAGTCTCGTCTTCTTATCAACTTGGACATAAAGAGGAAGACATGAGAGGAARGGAAATGAAATGTGATAAGAGAGGAGAAAAAGACGACGGAGAGAACAAAGAGAAAACAGAAAGCTGGGAGAACTGTTAGGCTTGGAAATTTTGGCTGAGGGTTGGCGAGGGACACACACATGCATGCACACACACACTTGGCCAAAAACTAAAACTAGAAATAGTAACACTYACAGGCTGCAATTAAAACAGCGTCTCAGAGCTGCCAGCAGAGGACTTTAAGGAGAGAAGAGCTGCTCTTTAGAAACTGCAGCCTGAGATGTTGGACAAACATTAAGTGGTTTAAGAAATGCTGACAAATAAACTCCTACAGTGTAAAAGAGGACGTTTCTGCATCCAAACACAGAAAACAGTTTTTTTTCCTGATTCAACATTCACTTTGTTATTATCCTGTTTGTTACTATACTGTATGTTTTGCAGCGTCAATACTTCTGCATATGTTGTTGTGTTTTAGCAATTCATCCAAACACTTGGCTCATTCAGGAGATGGGTCTGTGRCTTTTGCAACCTTTTCACTTTATCGAATTTATCTGTGTTCATAAATATTTTACCCACAGAAATGTGTTGCAATCTTGTCAAATCCTTCAAAAACATTGTTTTATTTTGAAACCTGCCTCAGCAAACTTCTAGTGTTATTTTCCTAGCTAGCCCTTTGCTAGCTTTAGCTTTTAGCTCACATTCTRCTACTCAAAAGCCCCGTCACASTACAGCRTTTTAGACAGCTTGTACCAACACATGAAAAAAGTTGCAGAAGTTTGGTGTGAGTTTTGAATAAGTTATCCCATGGTATGAGTTGTATAAATTGCTATAAATTTTGTACATGCACGAAAGCTTCAGCGCATAGCAACACGTTGCTGATTAGTTACAGATACAAATAAAAAAAATCTGACAAAGTGAACGAATCAGGTTAATTTCCACAAATTTGTGAGTCAGTAAAAATCATCAGAGTTTGATGTTTGACAGCTTCTATCCTAACAGCGCTTCATGCTCAGAAACACTTTTACAAAAGTTTCTGCAAGGGCAAAAATATGCTCCACTCTACAAACATATTTATGCAGCCAAAAACTAGGTCTTAAAGCCAGCTGCTTGTCTCTAGTTGTTTTAATGCATGAAGAGGATAAAAGTATTTGGTTCTTTTTTGTAATCTCAGCGTACGATCACAGCTCAGGTTTATGTGCCTCAGCCGATTTCWAACCATGTGCTGATGTTTCCTGTTTTGAAGCAACATTTTGCTGATTCTGAAGGGAAATTGTCAGATCCATCAATATCTCACCTGCTGTAAATGAACTAACAGCTAGTGTAATAATGTAATCCTCTGCTGGCACATATTTGTCTGTTAGCAAAATATCTCATGAACAAGCTGACAGATTTTAATAAAACTCTCAGAATCTCATCATTGAATGCACATCTGCAATTGTAACTGCAATATTAATCACTTATTTCTCTTCTCCCTGCTCAGAGTGATGGAAATAACTTTTAACCTGAAGCAACTGACCTGTAAGAAGAACTGCTCAGATGACTGAACCTCATGTTTGACTGTAAAATCACCGTCTAATATCGGAAACAAACTGCAGTCTTATTTTCTAACACTAACATTTTGCTGCTGATTAAACGAGGACCTGTAAATGGTTTTAAAAAGCCACACTGAGTTTCACGAGGTCTCTCCTGAGAGCAGCTGAGTGTAAAACACTGCTGCTGGGAAAGCAATCCCTCCCGACCTTTGACCTCCTGTTAAACCATCTTAAAAAGGGATGCTTCGTCTGTCAACATAACGAGAGGCAGCACTGCACAGGGTCAGCATCCAGAGCAAACAAACAAAAGCAAACAGCAGAATAAATCCAGAGGAATGTGTTTATGAGGAACCAGCTTCCACCTGAGAACTACCAGATCTACTCACGCTGCTGAACACAATCCACACTAAACACGAGGGGGAAGGAAAATCAAGCACAACAAAATAAATTGATTCCCTGGTGGGAAATTTGCTTTGCTTCATTTAAGGGGGCGGACAAACCGTGATATTGAATAATGTGTGAAGCAGAGGCAAGGGAGGCTGCCTGACATCAGGACGAGAAGTGGGATGAAACTAACAGACAGGACATCCAGGGTCACCGAATCAGCCTCAACATGTTAATTCAGAAAAAAAAACAGTGCTGAGACTGCAGGAGGAAAGATAWACTGAACTGATTTTAAGTGTTTTAATTGGATTCAGTTTTACTGGACTTATGGAGCTAAAATGGAGCCATAAGACTTGTTCAGAAAGATTATGGAGCTGAAAAACAATACATTTTGAAAAAAAAAAAGAGATTTGAAAAAAAAAGATTTGAAATGATGAAAAAGTTCAAACCGCTGTTGTATCATATAATAAAAAGATACAC